GTGTGTGTGTGTGTGTGTGTGTGTGTGTGTGTGTGTGTGTGTGTGTGTGTGCGCGCTGCATTTGTATGTCACCCTGACAGACACAAGCTCGTAACCGTATAACATTTGTTTGTACGTTGCGATCCCTTCGTTCTTGTAAGTACTGTTGTGGTCGCATACCTTCAGAAGATTGTATTTTTTTCTTCTTACACTGTCAGGATATAAGTTCAGTGACAGTTCGTCATAGGCAAAATCCCATGTGATGAGTTTGATGGCGTTGCAATGCCTTTTTAGTCGCTCGGATGTCATGTCCGCCCATTTTATCGGCGTTCCCCACTTCTCCTATCGTCGCTGCCTTAGCATTCATTCTGGGTCCATACTGTATGGGGAAAAAACAAAAACATAAATATCATAATTAGGGATGAAGTATGGAACAGAACGCACCGCTTGCATAAGTTCAGAGAGTCATTGTTATTCCCCGCATGCATATGCGGGTCATTAGAGAGTGCTTAGTGTGGTTGTGGAACGCCAGTTAATGTGGACACTTACGCAAGACAGACTGCAGTTGTTCCGTTTGCCACTTTCGTGCTGTCGAATATGATCGACAATATTGAACGTTGTTATTGTGATAGTTTTTTTCAGTTTCTGTTTTTTTTCGTCTTCGTTGTGGCATGTGATTAAAGTCGTCGCCATGTGAATGACGATCCTCGATCTTTCGTTGATGAAGAGCAACATTGTGTCTCTTATTTCATTGCATAGATGTTTGACATACTTCAACGTCGCCCTTTGCATGTTGGTGTTTTGCTCCATCAACGACACCTTCGTTCGTTCAATCCGTGTCGCGCATCGTGTCAGACCACCCTTTGAACAAAACGCCACGCATGTCACTGATTCGTTACGCCCATTCTCCCCACGCATGTGAACAAACCCCAACTCGTAAAACGCTTTGGTCCATTTGTCACTGCCTTGCCTTTCATTGTTTGCGTCAGGCCCAACCGTCTTGGCGAGGTTGTAAATTTGTAGGCGCTCCTCGTCGTACCACAACTCCATCGAGGAACAACCATTTCGTCAAAACGGACATATTATATTTTTTGAACGAAATCAAAACTGATTTTTTTTGCCAAAATCCGGTCGGAATTTTTTGCTCCTGGGGGTCCGGCTTTCCCAAAACGCCGGACCCCCTACATGTATCTGGTCTATGGTTGAAACCAAATTAAAAAAAAAATAAATAAAAAAAAAATAATAATAAAAAAATAAAAAAATAAAAAAATTGTATCTGGTCTCAACCATAGACCAGATACATGTAGGGGGTCCGGGGTTTTGGGAACGCCGGACCCCCAGGAGCAAAAAATTCCGACCGGATTTTGGCAAAAAAAATCAGTTTTGATTTCGTTCAAAAAATATAATATGTCCGTTTTGACGAAATGGCTGTTGAGGGCTCCAATGTCGACCAATCGATTGCCTCCACACCGACAACCTTCATTTACATTCTTCTTTTCCATGATAGAAGGGTTCTCCCATTTCACCGGCGTCCCCCATTTCTCATTACGCTTCCCCTCTGACAATGCAGACACTATAAACACAACGAAAAAAGGAAAAAAATGCAATCCAATCGAGCAATTAGCGATCTGTTTTACGTTGTTCGTATTAAACAGATGATCCTACTCCTTCCCTCATCACGTCTACACAGATGTGTCTAAAGTAGATGCCATATCTTGTGTTGATGCAGACATCTTGTCAGAGACGGTCAACAACAACTGTGCATTGAAAACCTCTCACTTAGGAATCCGCATACCTGTCTTAGAGCGTTTATTGTTGACCCATGTCCACACAACGATGTTGAGGTCTTGCCAGTTGTCGTCAGATTCATTTCCGACCTTCCATGACTTTGCTCATGCGTCTGCATACAACTTCGTTAAGTCGCGCTCCCTTCCGCAAGGTGTCCAGTACTTGACACGGATGTGATTACCATCCCGCTCCATAACGCGTCCGGTCCCGAATATGCAACCTTTTGCAACATACTCGTCGGGTGCGCCGATGGACTCCTGCAGCTTGAACTCCGATTTATGAACGTCTCTCTTGTAACCGATGAAATAAGGTTTCCTCGTTGACGAGCCGAGAACATGCAGGACAACCGATGGGAGATATTATTTATCAACTTGAAGCATTCATGCTGGCCAGAAGGCACCTTCACGGGGCACCGTATCGCTCTCCTCTTGCAATTTTTTTTCGAACTTCTTGAGATGGCGGTCCAGTAGCTCAAGGGTCTACATTTCATCGCCATTGTGTGTTTGTTTTGCGTCTCCCACTGGATTCATGAATTTTCCCACGATTTATGAAGAACATGCACCCCTATTATTCCGTTAACGAAATTGCCTACTTGCGGGTTAGGTGACTCAAAATAAGGTTGGAAACCCTATTGAGGCCCTGCCCACCCGTTGTGTGCACCTTTTTTAAACCAATACACAGGGTCAGTTTCTAACTCCTACTTTTTATTGGTGCGGAACTCTTTATATAGCATGGCGAGGTTGTCCCCATCCATGTAAAATCAAACGAGGTGCGGCGTGACATAACTTTTGATGTTGTGATCGAT